CGAACACAATGGTAAGATTGCTTCCTGCGACCTAGGGGGCCAATGTTCGAACATGAAAACAATTAGCTCTATATACAAATATAAGACTGCATATATTCCCCAGATCCTGCAGATCCCACATTGGCACGATCATGGGCACTGGGTGGCATTGGTACCGAGGGTCAATGATGCAAGAGCAATTTAGTTGGTTTATTTATAAAACAAAGTTGTTTAGCTTAAGGATATTTTGTATATGTAATACATTGTAATATCTCAACATCTACTCGTTTCAACAAGGAGAAAAAAGAAGCAAATATAGAAAAAATAAAAATTATACATAAATCTATGATTGAAGATCTTAAATACATCTTTACAACGATGAAAGTCTATTAATCAAGAATATCAGCAGGAAAGAAAGAATCAAGTCAAAAATATTAGCTTCTTCAAAGGAACGAGGATATTGTATATTTGATTTGATGTGATTGTAATTTTTCTTATTTCTGTATTTTCCTTTTTATTCTTGTGCTTGAGCCTATAAAAAATGCTAAAATGCTATAATGGATAATCAAAAGATGAATCAATGAATTGAGTTCTTTGTGTGAGTGGTGTGAGATGTGCAGATCTATGAATTGAGTTATTTCCCTCATAACTGTGTGAGGCGAGATCACAGATTCACAATTATGTTTCCGATGGTATGTTTTCATCGTTCGTGTGCGAGACGTGCCGAGCTACAAGAACCTCATCCTAGGTGTTCTCCTTGAGCCAAAGTGACTAGGGTAGTTATCCAATTTTTTCCATTATCTTTTAATTATTATCTTTTTTTCTTCGCTTTCTATCCCGCTGTTACTCGCCCTACGTCACCGTGTTAACAACCCCATAGAGAAAAAAGAAAAATCAACCAGAATCCTGTCATCCTACAACAGAAAGAAAGGAGCTTTTGGAATGTCAAGAAACCTACAGTGCCAAGATCATAAACTTTTAATCCACAAAATTACAGAAAGAGTATCTCCATTGGAATTTTTGCCATGATTTTTTTCAAATATTCTAGTTTTCGAATATCACTATGTATACTCAATAAAAAAGTCCATTTTCTTTGTATTATCTAGTCAATTCATTTTAGGAGATGTAATCAACCCCAAAAAGTAGAAAAAAATTATTGTTATACTTACAGTATGCCACATACCCAATCTAATAATAAGACACTGATAGAATAGGAGCAATGTTTCATATGATAGAAGTATGTGATAACTGATTAAGTATACAAGCACCTAACCAAAGAAAATTTGTCATACTATCATCCAAGGTTCGCAATACCATACCGTACTGGAGTTTCGACCTGTGCTCGGTACCGGTACGGTACGGTATACCGTACTACAGTGCTACAGTGCTACAAAGTCAAAATTAAGGAAAATAATGCAAGTCCTTGTTCATCAGGTTGATTAGCATCCACCAGCATGAATCACTACAGAGCAACAAAGAACAGTGCCCTCCAGACACCTGTCTGGTCAATGACCAGCATGTGCCAATGAAGATAGGAGAAAGCAAATGTGCGGGTCCAAAAGTGGAAATATCATATTGTGCACTGTCATTGGCATTTAAGGATCACTGGATCAGCATGTTTGCAAAGTGCATAGTACACCAGAGTTGTGCCTACTTCTCAAGCATGGAATGTTGTAAATGTGCATATAATACATATTAATAACTTATTTTAATATTTACCAAGAAGCATCACATAGTATAAAGACTTTAACATCCTTATAATGAGAATTATCCACCCCTTTAGAATGGAGAGATCCATGTAGTTAGGACATCATGGTTTCTTGTTATTTTTCGATGTCTAAGAATGGAAAGAAAAAATAAATAAATAAATAAATAAATTAGGCATTAGGACACGTCAGAATACAAAAAAAAAAGTAGATCAGATGTATTACTTTTTTAAAACAATGAATTTTGAGAAAATATTACAAATTTAGAAACTGCACGAGGAGACTTCAATTAGCCATACATGGGTCTAGAAGTATATTAAACTTCATGACAAGAAGCACTCTGTGAATTGGTTGATTTGGATATTTGCAACAAAAGTTTCCAATATGCTAACATATTAAACCTCCAGGAATGATGTTCTCAAAGAAAATACATGACTTAACCTAAATCAAAAACTATTTTGTGGATAGTATCACAAATTTCATAGAACCAAAAAAACATGCAAATTAATAGTTATAACACAAAAGTCAGGTAATTTATTTCTTGAGAAGTTAGACTAACAAATTTTAGCCATTTGCTACCACCTAACCAACTGATGCAAGGAAGTGTCTCACAAAATAAAGAATGGCAGCTAAATGTATATACGATATTGAAATATCTCCTAGCCAATCAAGTTGCATATTTAGTCCTGAAGACCTTAACTTGTCAAGGTCATGAGGATAATGAAAATGCATATAATGACCTGATAATCAGGCAACATTTAACTGCATGCATCTAGCAAACAACCAGAAAAAACAAAAGATGGACCAAGTTCCAAACCTGGAAATGAGAGCTGCTGAGGCAGCGAGCGATCTGCTTGAACAAGGGAACCATGCACCGCTGAAACTCCACAGGTTGCGTCACCTCCAGCACCTCCTCCAATTCACCAAGGAATAACACCTCCTTCTGACAATTAATTACAGGCCAGTACTTCAAGAGCCCCCTAACGACTGTATCAGCTAGCTTGTAATCCTTCTCGACGAACTGCACAATGCAGTAGGAGAGCTGCTGGTGGTACATCCCCACTAACTTTGGTTTGTGCAACGGTATGAGGGCCCGGACAAGAAACAACTTGTGCTCCTCTTTCATCGGCAGAGCGAATCCATTAATAATACTCCCAAGGATCTCCAGCAGCTCGCCAATGCCACTGTGTCGCTGAGTCTCGAAGATGAATCTGTAGAAGATATTGTTGATGGCTTTGCGGATGAAAGGGCGATGGATCATGAACTTGCCGTAGATGCGGTGGAGGATGGTCTTAAGGTACTCGCGCTCGCGGGGGTCCTCCGAATCAAAGAGGTCGAGAATGCGGAGCACGAAGGTGTGGTCGATGTAGCGCTTGGCGACCTTGGTATCGGTGTCGGAGGAGATGACAAAGCGGAGGAGGAGCTCGTAGACGAGCTGGAGGTGAGGCCAGGCAGGATCGAGGTAGGGGTCCTCCTCCTCGGGATCGGCAGCCTCGGAGCCGGTGTTCTCATGGGAGGCCGGGGGAAGGCAGCGGAATATGTTAATGGCGACGGTGCGGATAAGCTGCTCCTGGACAGGCTCAGCGAGACGGCCGGAGCCTGACTGCACGAAGTCGACGAGCTCCGAGAGGGTCTGCCGCTTCACCTCCTTCTCCCGGGCCGACCTTAGCGTGTCGGAGAAGTCGAAGACCACGGCGCAGATCTGGAGCTTGCGGAGGAAGAGCGCCTGCCGCTCAGGGACAGGCACGTCGCGGAAGAGCGGGAGGGATTCGATCTGTGGGGCGGCAGCGCCGGTGGGGAGGAGGTTGGCGGCGCCTCCGGGGGAGGGGACGGCGGTGCGGGAGGCGTGGTTGACGGTGACGGAGGAGGAGGCGGGGGCGGAGGCGGGTGGAGGCTCAGCGGCGACCTCCGCTTTGGGGCCCTTGCGGTTGGCCCGTTTCATGATCTTGTTCAACATTTCGCCTTATGTCTCCGGCCGCGCCGCCGCCGACGAAGCCCCAAATTGTTGTCCCCGGATCGATCCCGCGCCCCAATCGAGCTACAACAACGGAGGAGGGCAACGGGGAGAGAGCCTCATAATAGAAGGGGGTGGGAGAAGAGAGAGCAACGAGGAATCTGCGTTAAAATCCATCCGTCCATGGATTTGTGACAAGGAAAGAGAAGAAATGAGGTTCGCAAGGGAGGGGGAAAAGAAGGTAGAATAGTGAAGGGAGGAGGATACAAATGGAGATGAAAGGATGTGGCTTTTTCCCTTTTCTTTTTCTTATTTTTCTCTCTTTATTTTTTTGGCTAAAAGTGGATGGACTACATGTTTGATTTGGATGGATGTGGGTAACTGCGATCGATGTCTGGACCCGATTTTTTTATAGTAAATATACAGGTAGCTTATAACCAAAATACATTTGTAACGAGTTCACGAAACATGATCACTAAAAGATAAAAAAACAATTCCAATAAGTTGGATGATAAAAAGAGCAAAAGGAAAATGGAAAGGAGGAAGACAAAAAGAGGAGAGTGGTGATGATACTCATGAGAATACGAGAAAGGATAGTGACGTGAGAAGCGAGGAGGATAAAGTGGCAATCAGAAAGAGATTAGAATATTACAAGTTTAGAGAGAACATTCATTTTTTTCATAAATACAAGCAAAAAATAAATAAATAAATAAAAACTATAGTCCAAATTATTTTAGTCAAAGATGATTGGCCAGATGTAACTCCCGATATTTTCTTATGGGATAACCGTGGTGAAGAGGCAACCAAAGTGCCCATAAGCAATTCACGTGGAAAATAATCTCCATTAACTTTTGCTTTAGGCACATCAAAATTTCTTTCTGCCGTTCGAGCAAAAATTCGTCATATAGATCTCCCTCAGCTTGAACCACAAAGGACTCGGGTTTCAAACAACGCTTCAGAAAGGAAAGAAACCCTTGAAATGCCTCGACCAAAATAAAACTTTGAGAGTTGAAATGGCAGTATTGATCAAAACCAACAAATGAAAACAAAGTGATACGAGATTAGATAAATATGATCAAATGAGTTTAATTAGAATAATCTAAAATAAATTGGCTTCTTTAAGAAAATGACCTTATCACCCTTTCCATAGAAATCCCAATTAATCCAACTTCAGCTAATAAGCACTTAAAAAAGAATTATATTGATTGGCAAGGTTATATAACCTGATATTTTAACTAAATACATCCTTAGCTACAACAATCAAGATGTGCATCGATGATAAACTAGGGATCTAACAGTTTACATAAATCCTGAGGTTTATGAGATAACATGCTACTCATGCAAATTCGCGCAAGCTAAAATGCTACCATAAAAGATGATTTTAGACAAGCTTTTCAAAGAAGTCTAGATGCCAATAAGACCACATTTGAAGTCCAGAAACAGTCCAACAAGCTAGGTTCAGGACAGCAGACAATTGAACGGAAATTTACATGATTTATCAGCATAATTCAGATATATGTACAAACCAAAAATACATATTACTATCCTCCCTTGCTTCCACATCCTTCGTTGTTAGTGCTCGTCCCAAGACACAGCTGCTTTGTCCCAACTGCACCCTTGATCACCGGCAGCTTGTGCATCTTTGGAATTTCTGCATATACCAGATGCCTCACCAATATCTTCAGTATTCGTGGACCATTTATTCCAAGATGAAGATTGAACAACACCAAATTCCTTGGTCCTGGCCCAGTTCTCTTCTCCAACATCTGCTTCATCTTTGCTCCAGTTTGACGACCTTTTACTGCAGCCAGATGAGTCACCATCATGAGATTTTCCCTTGCTCCAATCATGTTGTTGATTAGTTTTTCCTCCGCATTCGGAATTTGCATGGTCTTTGGACTTTTCCCAACCAGTGTTTTCGTTGCTGCCCCAACTCGATACAGAATTTCTAGGTAATGATCCATCACCACAGCTCTCCCTGTCATCCTTCATATCAGATGAGAAAAAACTGCTGTGACCAGGACCCCTACCGCCACCATGACTAAAATGCCATCCACCATCAAAATTATAACCACTGTTACGCCCCCAACCTCTTCTGCTTCCAGACCATCTGCCTTGCTGGTTGGGTGGCCCATCGGAATTGTCACCTTGACTTTTATCTCTTGTTCCGAATCGGCCTCTTCCTCTTACCCAACTAGATCCCCTGTCTTCACTAAAATCTCTCTGCTTGTTCCATTTGCATTGCTTTTCACCATCAGCCTCATTATTTCCTCCCCTTCCTCTTCCCCAACCAGATCTTTGATTACCAACATGATCCATTTCTTTATTCCAGCTACCACTGTCCCAGCTATTTTGTCCTCCACCTCTTCCTCTACCGAACCCATGACCCCCTTCTCTAGGTTTGCTCCATCTGTCAACCTGATCACCTTTCCCAAATTCTTCACCAGATGATTTTCGCCCGTACCATGTATCATTTTCACTTTGCTTGGATCCTCCTTGTTTCCAATCTTTCGAATCATTTGACTGTCTATCCTTCCACTGACCAGACTGACCAGACCAAGAATTCGTTGTTCTTTCCCAACTGCTAACTTGGCCAGAATGTTCCGTTCCTGGTTGTGTAGAATGTAGAACAGCACCATTCCTGCTGTCAGTTTGATATCCACCTTGAACTGTGAAATCTTCTTTACTTTCTTTTGAATTATCACCCCAATTATTACCTTCATCAGTCTTCTCCCTTTGAGAATTAGTAGTTGTGTCCCAATTGCCATCTGCAGTTCTCTTTTTTCCCTCCATGTCCCAAGCATCTACATTTCCACTGCTAACCTCAGAATGAGTCCAATCACATGACTTGTCCAAAATGACACCTCTTGCTTTTTCATCACTTCTTACAGCTACCTCCCAGCTATTTATACCAGCACCGGTTGAATTTTTGCAAGACTCATCAGCTCTCGGTCCATCCCAAGCTCCTGTAAAAGTGGATGATTGGGTTTGAACAAAAAGCACCAGGAAAAGTCATGAGTTGCATTCATACAATCAAGTCATATGTCAGAATAAAGAAGCTAAAATCATTCACTAACCTCTAATTGTTTTCTCATAAGCTTTTACTTCCGAAGCATGGTCAGTCCAGCCACACCAGCCAGAGACTTGTTTTGCACCTGAAGCTTTCATGCTGTCCCATTCATATCCACCTGCAGCCTTACCTTCATCACTGGATGACAATTTATCCCAACCAGGCTTATTACCATCACTTACAATGGACATGTCCTGATTGTCCCCAATGAACCTTCTACAAATGGATATATGCAAATTTTCCGGAGCCGCAGGTACATTTTTTAAAGAATCACCTACCCATCCAGATGTAGTTGTAGTGCTCCACTTGTTTTTGTCATCATTACTCAACTCAAATTGTTCCCCAGCATGAGATTTTTCCCAGTTGCTGCTTCCCTCAGGTAAACTTGTTCCCTTCTCCCAACAAGAAGCATCATCCACACCTTTGGCATCCTTTTTTGCATCAGCATCTTGTGAGAAGCTGCTCCAACCAGACAAGGACTGGCCAGCTAAAGATTTATTTTTGCTCCAGGAATGCATTTGACCAGTTTTTCCCAATGATTCATTTTGATTACAATTTCTCAATTTATGCCAGTCAGCATTTTTATCATTTTCCCAATTAGACAACGAATCCACAGAACTTTGCTGGTTCTTCCAATCTGAAGTTTCAATCGCACCATGGCCCTTATCCCAATTGCAAACTTGCCCAACAGATCTCGTGTCACTAAGACCATCCCTATTACCTCCAGCTTCACCAGAATGTCCCCTGGCCTTGCCTCTGCCTTCATCTCTACCTCCTCCCCTACCAGATAACCACTCTTGATCTCCTGCATCATGCTTCATACATCCACTTACTCCATGGAATCCCCTTCCTCTTTCCCAACTACTTCCTCTAAACACATTAAATTCGTTTTGCCGGCTCCAGTTGTTATCATGGTTCCTATGTCCATTATCTTGTTCCCTTTCTCTTTCCAAACTAGAAGTTTGACCCCAGTTATGGTTCTTACTCCAGCTGTCCTGGGATCTATCATTATCAGTTGCACCTAGACCACCAACATGTTGTAATTCTCTAGGTTTTTCTGAGTTCATCCGAGTATTTGCATCAGCTCCTTCACAGTCTTTTCCTTTGTTCCAGTTGAAATCATAATTTCCTTTGGGTGACATTCGATTGTCCCCTAGACAATTCTGACTTTGGCCAGAAACTCCTGCTCTGCTTAATCTGCCAATTACAGCTTTGTCATTCTCTTTTGCTTTGACACGATAACCAGATAGACTAGCAGATGGACTCTTTGCATTATCCCAGTCACCAACCTCACATCCATGGTTTTGAATAGAATGGGACCCGCCAATGGCAACAGCATCACAGCTGTTATTGTTTGTATCTTGCAATTTTGCAGCTTTTTGCCAAGCATCATCCTCAGTACTTATTTTGCCTTCTTTATTGTCCCAAGAACATGTATTATTGTTTGATTGAGTCTGACCAATAGCAGCAACATCCCAGTTGTCATTGCTTTTCTCTTGAGATTTTGCAGTTTTGTCCCATGCATCTTCTTTTTTACTCATTTTTCCTATTCCTTCACTGTCCCAAGAACATGCATTACTCTTTTTAACACTCTCATTATCCCAGATTCCTCCAGCATCATCTACGGAAGTTTTTGATTTCTCCCATCCATCCACATCATTCCTCAGAACAACTGCAGCTTTGTTACTCCAATCATATGATTTTATTTCACTACTTCCAGCTTGATCTCCAGCACCACTGGAAGCCTTCTCCAGCAAACCTGAATTGGATGAATTACCCCATCCACCTATGGCTCCATCAGAAGTAGGTGCATCAGTTCTATTAGCATATGTCACCTTGTTCCAAGGATCAGCTCCAAGTCCTAGACCTGTTCAAGGTTACAGTAGGCAATCAGAGTTCTCATGCAATCAATAGAGTTACAATAGGTAGAATTGCTTAAGCCTTCACAGCAGTAAATGAACCAGTTGTTTTACCCCAACCATCCGTGATCTCAATGGAACCACCTGAGGTCTGTTTACCAGTGGCTGTTGCCATATTACTCCAAGGATCAGCCTCATTTCCATGATCTGTTTAATATTACAGCAAGACAATATAAACTCAACAAAGGTGCAAAGACTAAAAAAGCTATATTAGCGGCAATAAGCATTAAAAATTCCCACTAGTACAAGAACAAGATTTTTTGCCCCAATCATCCATTGTTTTATCATAATCACCTGTGTCAGTACTAGACACAGACACCAGTTTATTACCCCAAGGATCATCTTTGCATCCTTCTGCTTATAAAAATAGGACCAATCCGAAAGTGTTCAAGCAAACAAACAGTGATAAAAGGAAAAAAAGTTTGCCAGCCAACTAAAATTACCAAGCTGTAAACATGATTTAACAAGGTCAAAGTATTTATCAATTCCCCTTCCTTGCTATAGATAACTTCTGCAAACACTTGTTTACAATCCGTCAAATGCATGTTGCAAAATCTATTATATGGGTGAACTGCACTTCTGCTTTCAGTTGAAACTCATAAACAGGAAAAGATAAAACAACACAGAGGGGTGAACTGTTAAAGCAGAAAATAAGTATTCCTCGATTAGATCACTCATTGACTGAACTTATATGGGTCCTATAACTACCAGCATACTGAAACATGGTATGCCAATATGCTGGTCAACACTGAGAAGGGGAGAGAAGGAGAAGAAAACGAAGAAGACAAAGAGGAGACACTGATTAGGCGAGTAATACAGTACAAGTAGGAAGAGGAAGTGGAGGAGAAGAGAGAAGCAGAGCAGTAAGAGGAAGAAGAGGTATAGGAGGAGAAGAGGAAGAGCAGATGTAACAAGCAGAAGAGTTGTCATGGACTTCTTTGGTTTTTGCCTAAATAGTATGACATCCTTGCGACATCCATCTACAAAAGGCCAGCTTCCAAGAATCTTAGTTGGTTTTTACCTAGGCCATGCAGCACCCTTGCGATATCCATCGCAAACGGTTAGCTACGACATAACCTCGTACAGTCCCATAGGGACCTGCAAGCAAAAGAAACGGGTAACATGTTCATTAACTTAAATGCATGTGCAAATCCAAAAAATAAACTCATGATCGCACAAGCACACTTTATGGGCAATACAAAGTACAAAGATAGTCCTAGTAAGCTCGGAATGGCATGATGTCTAAAGCCCCATCTGGCAAAATGCCACCAAAGGGTTCTAGGGTGCCATATTTCACATTGCAAACGTGTGATGGGGGGAACGTTTCAGCCACAAATCAACAGGACTGTTTTGGTCATTTTCCCTACATGACATGGCTTTATCTACAATGCTTGAATGTTTTACAAAAGCAAAATGGGACTGCTAAGACTATTAAATAACCCTTACAAGTTGTCTAGGTGAAAACAAACAAAAACACCCAAAATCGACACTAAAAAGGGTCTCAGTCATGAATCGAACTCCTTGACAGCAACACACCGTGACAGAGCAACAATTGTCGAAAGTCGAAGAGGTATTAATGTGAAGCAATGTGAAGGAAATAGGGGATAACAAGAGAGAGGTATTAATAATGCAGACGACTGCCTAAAGTCAGACCGACCAAAATGCCAAATCATTGAAACCGAGACAAGCGATAGGCCTAATTTTTTATAGTTACCAAGCAATAACCTACTCACTGAACTGTACTAGGCAAAAAGGACTAGTCCTGTGTCAGCCGGTTCATGTTCAAACCAATAAATACTATGGGGTATGGACTAGTCCATGTGAAATTTTATACAATGACAAGAACCACACAAAAGGAACTACAAAAGGAAAACCAACTTGAAATGTAGAATATTAACAGGCACATGTTCAATTTAATCACACTAATCTATGACTCGATAATTTTCCAATTTTGTGATACATAAAGTCATCTAACCAAATTAATATATATTTTAAAAGAGATGGTTCGAATATAAAAATATTATGTGATGCTGCAGCAGAAACATTTAAATTTTAAGTTTGTCTGAACAAAAAAAATTATTCAGTAAAATTAAATTTAGATTAGGCAAGTTTTGAGTCACAATTAAATATTTAATGAACATTTTGGGAAGAAGAATTATGGTCCATCAGAATCATGTAATTGTCTCCATTACACATCCCTTATGTCTTATTTAAAATAGATAAAAAGAATCAACTTAACTCAAAAACTAAGCTGAGTGGAAAAAGAAAAGGCTGTCTCACCGGATGCTGAACATACCAGGAGCGATTCAAACGCAGCTCAATATGCCAACAGCCTGGATTCAATCAAAGTTCATGTGCTTTGGCCAACCATTAGTAGTAGTGAGCCAAAACACCTAAGATTCGACTAAAGTTGGTCAAAACCCAACCGTTCAAGCCCATTCATTTGAATAGTTGGGCCAGTTCAACTCATTTAACAGGCAAAATAAAAGGGCCTATATTCTTTCTATTAGCACAAATATTCCAACAACTTCACGCAAGAAAAAGAGCCTCAGAGGTCCATTTTCAATAAGCCAGCTGAAATACAAGGAGGTGATAACTTTTGATGAGGTACTCCCCTAATCCTTTTAGACATGCAAGTTCTCTGATTAAATGAAAATTTTGGTGACACCAAAGGCCTCTAGACAACTTGTTAGTCAAGTTTTATTATCATTAGGTGGTCTACATTTCATTGTTTTCACATACTCTAGTCTAAAGAAAATGCAAGATCCAAATACAATTCTACAGGGACTCTGGTGAGTGTGGGTGATCTGAAAAACAGTCTTTTATGCATTTACGTTCTCTGATTGAATGCATTTAACTTTACTGCTGCACGAGATGGTCTATCTAGTTCACAAACCTACATCAGTCCCTGAAGCAACTAAACTGATGACCAATCAATCCTGAATGGCTTAAGCAACAAGTTCACATGCACCATATATGTATGAGTGATTAGGGTCCATGTACATGACTATCAAATAAGATACATGGAGCTACCACATTAGGCTCTTGTCGCATGTGCAAGCCCAAGATATAAAATCCTAATTAATTGATCATCGATAGCTACAGACAGAAAGGGCATCTAGAAGCTACTACAATCTATGAACAAAAAACAGCTCAATTCTGTAACAGTCAAGACACAACATACAAAAACTTAAAACTAAAAAGTATCTTCTTAAAATTGAAAACATAAAAATGACCCAGTTCATAATTTGATATCTTCTTTTACATTTCAGATAACATATCCTCATAACTTCAACATGTAGCAGCAAATATGTCAGAGGACAATATAAAGAAAAGGACAGCCAGAGTACAAGGATCCACCATGTCCTAGAACAATACATGAAACACGAAAAAATAAACAGGAAGAAGCATTGACCAAATGTTTACATGATTTATAAGTCTCAGGAGAATAAGATTGTTAGACTTCAATAGTGTGCATCATAACCACCTTCGACAGAAATAGATTTAGAGAAGGCAACAATGCTAAATACAGTATCATTATATCCTACTAAACATCATTGTTTCCAGCTACATTGCACAGAAAGGGTCATCACAGTTTAAATTTGTCTTACATACAGAAGTTAATTCACTAATTCTCAATATATGCTCTAAGAGTGTAATAATTGAAAAACTTGGCATTTTATACCTGCAAAATCAATTAGCCAAATCACAGCTGCAGTGATTCAGCAAGAAACGCATGTAACAATATGTAAAAACTATTTAAACACAATGCATATATGGCTCAAAATCGACTTTCCAATGTATAAATGGAAACAATTTGAGTTTGATTGGATGACATCTCCAAAAATAATAACCAGTTCAAACATTGTTACATGAACTCGTACCCAACAATTTAATTCAGCCACGCATCCAAGTATCCAGTTAGGCAAGCTGACACAACGGAGATACAAGAACGTGCACAAGAGCAATAATTTGTAAATATACATGTGACAATTGTGCTAAAATGTTGGGAGAAGTGAAGGCCATACAATCAGAAAAGGCTTCATCTCTATGCTGTTATCTCATTTCAAATCGGAAGAGTATAATTGAAGTGTCGGATAAGTGCCCTGCTCACAGATGCATGAATACAAATCCAACATATCTTGTGGGTTTCAAAGTGGAAGTCCATGTAATAGTCACCCAGTCAAACGAAATTAAATAATAACGAACATGAAAAAGATAAGTAGCTTCTAGAATTTGCTACCTGTTTGATTCTCATTGTTACAAGCAACTGATGAATTGGAGGAAGAAAAAGGTTGCCAAGAATCCCTGTGAAGAATTTAAAATGAAAATCAGGAGCGGCCACAGTGATTCACAATGTGCCATATGATTAACAATGCCACAGATTAGTTTAGAATCTTAAGTAAATTGTACGCTTTACTGCATATATTACGAACCACTTTCAGTTAGCCAATTTAATTAAATTAAACAAAGGTAAGAATAAAGTTAAGACAAAACAAACATGCAAAGGAAAGCACAGAGTGGTCACCGAACCTGCCAAATGATGGCATCACAGAGTCCCATGAACTTTTCTCTGCTGGTGTTGATGTTTCTCCAAATGATGGACAAGCTATAAAATTAAAGAATGGTTCAATATTGTAATACAGTAAGACAATAATTAAATCTTGGAATAATTTGATGATCTAGAAAAAAGACAAACATGGATGCAAATACTAGCGAAGGATTAAATAAATTTTCCTTGTAATATGTCAAAAGCACAAGTTGCTACATGTGAAAATCAAGCTGCAAAAGTTAGCAAATCCAGTATTCAGCTCCAACTAAGGATTGTTATTCAGCTTGGAAGACAAAAAAATGCTATACAAAGAAATACCTGTGGACAATCCAAAGTGATCAGAGGATATAGTAGCTTGATCAGATGATCCAGTTGCATTATCTCTTCCATCGAAAACAACAGATAATAAAATCAGAAGGCAGCAAAATACTGCAAAGTAAACCAAGAAGATACATCCAGCGACGAGCATCTATTAAAACTAATGTTTATGTATTTAAGGACATTAAATACCCTTTTATTTTCGGCACTGCTAGAGATTTGTCCTTAACTGCATGAAGAACATGAAATATTTGTTAGAGAATAAAGATCAAAAAAATATACATCTTTCCAGTGAAAATCTTCTCAATCAACTAACCTGTTATAAGCTTCACTAAAGAATCCAGCTTAACTGTGACATCAGAGCGGTAGATGCCTACCACACGGCACAGGTACCCTTTCAGTGGACCTTCTCGGATCCTCAATGTCTGGCCAATTGAGAACATTTGCTCATTATCACTTTGGCCACGACGGGTGGCTGCATGTCAAATGCAAGATTAAGACAGTTTTCTTTCCACTAATTCAATGATATTCAGATACATACAGCCATGAGCATTGTTTTCTCGGTCAAATGTTCTTATAGGTGATTGAGAGAATGAAGTGTTTGCTTCTTTTCCCTGAACAGAAAAAATAGACAAAATGAAAAGGTCACAATTACAAGAAAAATCCAGAATAAAATTCCCCACCTTTCCAGCCTTTACACCATAGGAATTCTTCGACTCTTTCACTTTCTCACATGACACGGATTTCACAGAAAAGAAACCACTATTTTTGGTTTCATATTCAGCATGAATAAAGAGTGTGCCCTTGTACATATGTTTCACAACTCCTTCTCTACCCTGCCAAAAAACGTAAACTATCAATCTCAACTATTTTATCAGAAAATAAACAGCCAATGTGAGAAAGAATTATATGCAAGAACAAAAACAAAGTACAGTAACTACTGAAGTAAATACTAAATTGTTCAGATAAACTTCAAAAAGAAAATTTATGAACTAAGTAAACCATCACACACTCCAAGAAACTGTGTAGAACGTTGACCAAAGAACACAATATTATTTCGTTGTCGATGTTTGGTTCAAGCAAAGCTCATTTTTAAGTAAAACTATATCTGATGCATCACAACAAATAAAATGAAAAAGAAAACTAGTCTATTGAACATAACCTCACTATTTACATTATAGGGATTTTACGATGATGTTCAATCTCTCAAACTTGGAGTTGTGTTCTTAAAGATCAATTGATTAAATATTTATTACCTGCAATGGCCCTGCCAAAATTTTGACAATGTCATTAATGAATATGGTTGTCTTCTTCCAATCCAAAGCCGTGAACATTTTATCCACACATGAGTTCTTTATGTCCTGAATCTTAACTGTGACCACATTTTCTCCCTCTATGTCACCTTTCAATATCTGAAAAGATTAAAAAAATAAATGCATATTAAAGATTCAAACGGGTGAAGCAATTATTTTAGCAAAAGTGATACCTTGAAACAGTCCTTCTCAACAGCAATAATAACACCATAATGCTTCTGCCTGGAAGTCGGAAAGGAAGAAAGCTATTCAAAATTATATATTGCAGGTGATTAGTCTCAAATATGGAAAATGTGGCAGCACAAACTCACCCAAACAAGACAAGATCATGAAGACCGTAATCATTTTTTGTGACAACTGACACTTCATCATCCAATATTTCAGCTCCCGGCTTTTTCTTACGAGCATTGTAAATGCTTGAAACCCAGTTTAAGTCTTCAACCATATTATTAGTCACATCAGAGAACATTAAAAGCTCACTACTTGATGGCTGGACCCCAGAGAATATTACAGATCCAGTGGAAACCTTTTTGAACAAGTAACCATCCTTCAGCATCATGCCGTCAAGCACCTCAAAAAGTTCTCCAGTCAGCCGATCACGCTTGACTTCAATATGAGGTCTGAAGGACCTGATAGATTGTAGAGTTGACTTTATTTTCTAGAACTAAAATAGTTTAAACAATGAAAAATTAAATAAATATGAAATAAATGATATGATAAACAATTACTCGAGTTCATGAGAGCTTATCAAACGTGGTGCAGGAACAGCAGCAAGCTTCAATGATATCCCACCACCCTGCCAAATTAGAACTGATTTTATCCATGCAGCAACACTGCTAACTTGAGCATTTCATTCATTAATTGTACACATATCAGTAAAACAATGGTATTTACTTAACCCCAAAATCTATTTTTTATTCCATTAACCTTTTCCTAGTACAGAGTATGAAACAAAGTTTCAGACCAGAGCACAATGTAAAGCCGTGGCAAGAAAATATTCAATTTAGATTACATCACTCGCCATGCATGATCATTGAACAACTTTTACATTACTCTCCAACCACGATCATTGAACAACTTTAAGTTGACAATAAGAAAGAAAAGACAGCAGTATCCTTCAACCTTTGTCTTTAGAGAAAAATATTCCAAATATAAGAAGCAAGAAATTCCAGGTGCATTACAGAAGCAGATAACTATAGATCTGCATACAGAAGCTACCAAATGCACTCTCTATGAGCAGCATACTAACCAACAGAACCATCACTTGTACACAGGAAGTTTCCAGCAACCAGTAAAATATGCGTAAACTTGTCTTGGGTAAATTTTTTTAACAACTAAAACCAGAACATTTTTTTTTATATGACTAAAACATGATGAGAAAACCAGAACATTTGTTTTGGATATGATTAAAACAAAAGTAGTTTTTTTCTTTCTTGAACTGCAAAAGTTTCAGCCTTACAAGAGTTCAAGTTATTGAGAACTTCCATAAAAGCACAAAAAATGAAATTTATTTTAAAATAAATGGTCATATTCTACAATATTGTAAATTGTAATCAAATCCAAATTACATAGCATGGATTTATTAAAATTGGTAAATTCTGCCCTGGACAAATTAACCTGGTTAAGAAAACAGTTTTTGTGTTCTAGTTGAGGATGAACTGGGCTGTCAGAGAGTATGTGCTCAAGAATATTCCACATACATATTGAGAAAAGAAAACTCCATAAGAATTAATAAGCATCATAAATAAGAGTTTCCCTGGTATATATATAGAAAAATCCACAAATGACATGCATAACTGTTCCCTGTACAAGCAACTCAGATTGATGAGCAAAATAGAAGGAAAACTGAATTTCCAACAATACCCATACAAGTATAGACATTTCAGCAGTAAATAATATTTGTGTAACTTGAGGAAAATTCATATGCCAACATCAAAAGATATTTAATGCGCCTTCATATTTCCACTCAAAAACATGAATTTCACAAGGTAATTTAAAGGCTCCGATAAACATAACCCTCTCATTCATCTCTTTTCATTAACTTTTAGAAAAGAAAGCATTTTCCAGGCATGATATCAATAAGAACAATAAGATGTAACATGGCAGCAACATCAATGGGTCCACTCATCTATGTATCCTGAATGCATTTTAGGATTCTTACACCAACATCTCCAAAAGCAAATCTCTCTCTCTTATTTCCTATATCTTACCTATGTGTTCCGTGATGTTTTGAATATAGTAAGACCACAACCAATCCCCTAAATCCTCCACCCAGCTCTCATAACTGCAGCTAAATGCAAAAGAATGTAGTAAGCTCTAACTGTCAGCAATGTAGCTTCCAAGATGACCATATTCTTAACCATAGACCTATCACCCACTTTTGCATCTAGAAAACCTAGAATCTTCTTCCAAATCCACCACCACCGTCACTCATGCCACTGCACTTGAGCACAGAAAGATAAATAAAGTAGGAAGCACCACCTTCAGTCAGTGCAGGTTATAAAATATAGTGGACTTTTCATGGATGACCATGTTCTTGGCCCTTGATCCCAATTTTTTTCCAATTCCATACAAAGACTAGTCCAACTTTGTGCTGCCTCAAATCAATTATATATTGAACATGTTTCATCTAAAGGTTATTCAAGCAACCTAGCATATTAAAAATATATATGCAAAGGTGTCAATCAGTCATAAGCACTTGGTACACATTCTATAAGACCTAACATAACAAATATCTCCTTGTAAAGATAAAGACAGCAAACAAAACAAGCCATCAGATAAAAGGTATCAACTATGATACAATTTGGCTATATAATTTATACACATACCCATCAAAAACACATGATAGAAGAAACAGTCACAAAAAGGTAAACAAAAATGGTCAAACTAGTTGGATATCTTACAAATTTTTTGGCAATAGCTTGTAAATCAATTCTAGGAACCAACTTAATAGTTAATTGTTTCTGTCCATCATCAACTGCCACAACCTACAGAAAATATTCAATAAACATAACTATAGAATATAAAGAAGAATCAAAAAGCCTTGATAAGTAATACCAACAAAAACAAAATAATTACAACCTGTGCCAAGTCCCCTTTGTATTTTCCACTTTTCAAACGAACCAACTTTCCAGTACATACTTCAGGTAATTTGTTCCGAATAGCAAGCAAGTGTGGAACTTCACTTCTTGGGACAATATTGATTCTGCTTGAATATACGCTACAAAACCCTTTGCATGCCTGAAATATAAAAAATATGACAGTCACATGTATATAATGTACTTACTACTCTACACACACACACACAACTTCACTTCTTGGGACAATATTGATTCTGCTTGAATATATGCTACAAAACCCTTTGCATGCCTGAAATATAAAAAATATGACAGTCACATGTATATAATGTACTTACTACTCTACACACACACACACACAGAGTAGGACCATATTAGGACCAAATTAATCATATACTTCAATGATAGGATGGGTATTCCATGTTCATATATCATATATTCTCTTGAAAGAAATCATGAAAAATCACATCTCACATAGGAAAATTACAAATTACTACAACACAAAATGCTGATATACTGACTTAGGATTTGCTATTAGTGTATTACAAATCACTACAACACAAGTTCTAGACTCATCCGAGACTAATAAATTCACTCTTTACAGGCCTTTGTGAATTTAAATAACGATTGATTAGCTTCACAAAGACTAATAACAAAAATTCATGTCAATAAGACAACTGTTGATTCCAATAAAATTTTGACAAAATGGTTACCAAGTGCATAAGGAACTATTTCTCGAACAATGGAGTCTACCAGAAGTTAGCATTAGATACACCTATCAAAAGATTCCAGATGATACACCTATGAAACTTAGTTCAGCATTAAGTCTCTCTTCTTTTTGATAGTACAAGACGTTGATCGGTTGATTGCCTGGTTTAGAAGAATAAGATAAAACATGGCTTCCATATCAGATAAGGATCGAACAATATGGATCAAGGTAAGCAAGCTGAAAATCTAAAGAACAAGTTGACCAAAACATAGAATGCCTGAATTCAAGCAGTGAAAAACAAAGAATGGAACACCAAAATACCACATCTATTGACAACATAACCATGTGCATTAAAGAAATATAAATATCAAGCCCTTCACTTATGAAAGACCTCAGTTTTAAAAGTTTGGTGGTACGTCCGATTATGAATCCCATGCATCAACAAAGATAAACCAAACATAAAGTAACAAAAGTGGTGGATGAGGAGAGAAGAAAAAAAGGTCGAAAAAGCACAGAAAGTAAGCAACAGTCGCAAGTAGAAACAAAGAGAATTTACATTTGTTTTCATTGACTTTATAGTGTTCCTTTGGCTGGATTGTTTGTGCTTTACTTCAATTCAGTTTTTTTGTTATCTATCATTTTTAAACCTAGTTTCCAGCTAAATAGTCAATCTGTCAATGTAATCAACCAATTCTGGCTGATAATTAGTTCCAAGTATTTTTAAATGGTTACGCATGAAGCATTTCATACATTGAACATTGTAAAGGCAATCAACAAAAAAAAAAAAAATTTACCAAATGGACCTTTTTCAGCCCAGGATATCCTCTTATGGGCAATATCGCTTGTTACAAGGAGCATCAAATGTTTTTTGATTGCTTCTAACCAAAAGGTCTCAAAATGCTTGAGATGTTAGGTACTCACCCGAGCGAAGTGAGACGCTCCAAAATATTAATATTTAAAAATATATATTACGAATGATAAATATAAATAAAAATAAAAATGACACAATATGATTTCTACTAATGGAGACCTATGCTAAACAAGTTTCTAACCAGTGCTAAACAGTTCTAAAGAGTGGATCAGTATGCTGCTAAACAATTCTAAAGAGTGAACAAAGAAGAGTTCTAAAGAGTGGATCAATATGGCGCTAAACAATTCTAACCAATGCTAAATAGTTCTAGAGAGCGAACTGAGAAGAGGGGGAACCGACGACTGTCGACAACTGTGGAGGAAGGTGGGGGAAGGAGAGGGCGAACAGACGAAGCTACGAACGAAGGCGAGGGTGACGAAAGAAGGCAGCGGTGGTGGATGAAACTGCAGACGAAGGCAACGGACGAAGCTACAGATATAGGGTTTCACTTCAGGTATGTCTCACTAGGTCGGGGGGGGGGGGAGAGGGGGGGGAGAGAGGAGAGTTGGGGTTGTTTGTGTTAGGGCATATTATTTGGTTTGATTCAAACGATTTGATTGAACCAACTTGCTCGTTCAATCGAACCAAGCTCGAATCTGGACCCAACTTAACTTGGCTGCTTGCCTGAGGCTCAGGCGAGCGCCCGAGCAGCACTTCACTGAAACGCCTCGCACAAAGGTATTGTGAGGCACCTTGCACGAAGGTATTGTGAGACACCTCAACCAAGCACCTTTTGAAAACACCGCAATCAACAAAATCTTCTATGGGTCTTCCTCCACACTCTAACAACAATTGGTAAGATGACTACAAGAAATAAAAAATTCAATTATAGGTCCATCATGGTTAAAGATAAAATCACTCTTACCGAAGGAAACAAAAAAAATTCATCAATATATGTCCGCTTAACTTGAGCAACCAAAAACACAATAGTAAGATCCAAAACTGATATTTACTTATAATGTGCTAACTGCTAACAAATTTTACAAAGTATAAAGAAATCAAATTACCTCAATAACATCATATAGTTTATCAGCTTCAACAAAAACATAACCTTTGACATGCTCAAGAGCAAACACAGAAGAAATCTGCAGTTTCGTTCCCAAGTTTTCCAACTCAACATACTTTTGCATGAAGCAGAAGGTCATCTGTCGTTCACGTCCAACCTAAAACCAAGCAATTATGAAGCACTAGAATGCCAGTAACTTACAACATTAGGTAAGTCTTCAAGATTTTCCAAAGGTACCATGCATTTGACTTTCCAAATGATCACATCCTTCATTCCATCTGCTTCTGAGGCCTTGACATCACATTCAGCAGAATCATCATTGTATGTCACATGCTCTGAACCATGGGCATATCTATCATTGATTAGTTCTTCTAGTTCATCACCACTCAGCTCCTCTTTCACGAAAAAAGGAAGATGATGGGACTGTCCATCTCCAGTAATTTTTTTATTCTCATATTTTCCATCATCAGCGAAATCTACTATAAGTTGAAAAAAGAAAAATAAAATTAGCAATCATGTCAAAATGTGCCAAGCTAATTAATTCAAACAACCTAGTAATGTATCATTATTTGAACAAAGCACAAAATCACTAGCAAGTAGAAAATACAAACAAAAATATCATAGAAGAAGTAGCAACTGAAACACATGTGCTATATTAAATGGAACATGCTACCAGAAAACTGACTACTACCACACTAACCCCATGTGCAAGAGACTGAAAAAAAAAACAATAACCTAGTACCACAACCACTTGGAAAATAAAAAAACTAGAAACTGACCCTGATAAAAACATATAAGATACACTAATAACTGTCAATATAAGAGATAATACATGGAACTAAATTTTGATAAAAGAAGATATTGATTCCTCCACTAATAAAAAAACCACCATGTGATATTATGGCCACAAACTCGGTTCACTATGAGTATAAATACAGGTGTTTGTGCTAAGTTCATAATTGATGATAATACTAAAAGTCTAAAACTATTAAGTAACATTAAAATATGGGATATTGCTTTTATAATATGGATATTCCATTCCATCAACTAAAGCAATCAGATAACATATGACAAGGATATAGCAACGCATTATGTATCAACATGTACAAATAGTTGTAACCAAGTTCACAATGTTGATGTAAAATTGGTTATTAGGAAGACAAAATAATGTGTTTCCAATTAGGTGTAACCTCACATATGATAAAAGAAGAGAAAACTGTTTCAGATGGTATAGATATATATTAAAAGCAAGTAATGTAATTTTGCCCGGAATGGCACATACCAACCAGTATTAACCAATCCAGTCATGGTTCGGCAATCATCCAATTTCATGTGGTACAAGGCTTACCATGCAGTAAGCCCTGTGAATCAAAGTTCCTATCAGAACTGGACCAAACAATAAGCTCAGTTTCTTTTATTTATTTCCTAATCCTAAATCTGGTAAACCCCCCTCAGCCCTGCATCACACTGCACTGCACACTGCCTGCGCACTCCTCTTCTCATTTTTTCCATTCCATATCCACGAATGCCTCTAAGCCTCCATCTCCATCACCACCACCACCTCCTCCCCTCCCCCCATACACATACACATCAAGCGCTCCCCTAGGCATGCCATGAATTCACTCAGGCATGTTGACTAACATAGGCATTGTGTAAGCAGCCACTGAGTCTGGGGCAAGCTAACATGGGCTCGTGCCAAATGCATTAGCTGATCCAACAGCTCAACTCAATCGTCAGCTTACTACCGGCCTCTCCATCTCCTATACCACAAACTCTTTGTGGCCCTCTCCATCTCACCAACCGCTTTCACCCACTCCATTCCTCTTTTCCTTGCTTTTGTTAATAACCAAAGCCAATAATCGCCAATGATTGCCTAAAACAAGAGTGAAGTTCATAAAACAAAGGAAAAGTGACCTTATATTGATTAATCATGAATTAATATGTCAAAAGAAATGTTCCATTTAAAAAATGTAATTGCATGGAAATTAAGACCAGTATAAAAATGAAAGAATAGGATAAATATCCAAATATATATAATATATTTTTAAAAAGCATGAATCATATAGGATAACACAAAGAAGTAAAAATTGAGAAGAAACATAATAAAAAAGCAATGTTTCAACTTTCAAGAATCTAAATTATAAATAATTGAAAGAAAAACAGCAAAATCCAACAACTATATACCCATAATTTTCAAATCAAGAGTAATTGGATAAAAATCAAAGACGAAAGACATTTAAGTGATAGTAGACAAGATAAAGCAACACATAAGAAGAAGGTAAAAAACCATTATTGGTAGTTGACATGTCGATTGTAGTTGCAAAGAATGAAAAAATGACAAAATGAATAAGCAATAAAGAATAAATAAACAAAAACAAGAATGATATAAAAAAATAAGATAGAAGTAGAAAGACCAACATAATTGGCAAGTAGCTACAAAAGAAAATGTCCAGTGTTAGAAGGGTAATGGATGGAGGAGAGAAGAGGTAGGCAAGAGAGAATGAAAAACATAAACAAAGAAAGAAAGGGATAATCTCACTACACTGGTAGACATCAAAAATAAACACGGGAAAAGGAAAGGACATAAAAGAAAGGACTCTTTAAAGTTAAACAATATGCAGCTATTGTGCTTCTGACAGCACCTGTTGCTGCAACTTACTCTAACAATCCCCAAACTATTGAGCCCAATCTGCCTTCACACCAAGATGGAAATGTATACTTCCAATAATGCAAAACCACTACCTACATGTCACATTGAAATGAAAGAAAAAAGTCTAGAATGTGTGGTTAAGTTGGTTCAACCCACAAAATGGCACTCAGTTAAGTGCCTACAAATGGCCTACGATCCTAATCCACTTTTTACAATGCTGCACAAATCACCATCTAGAAGAACATATGTTGTGATAAGGAAAACAAGAGTTCCCAACCCATAACCAGAAGTAAAGATAAACTGGCTCATTTATGACAGACATCCCTATTTAACCATGATGTCAGCGCATAGAAATGACACAAATCCAAAGCAGCATATGGCAGATAACGAGCATACGGTAACATACCAACCGGTATGTTCAAATCCAACAGGCACAACCTTTGCCAAGAGCTAAATCCTTAATTAGCAAAAGGAATGCTATCTCTCGGCACTGCATACATGCATGTTTAAGACATGAATCATTAGCTTGAAAACAAAGCCTTACAAAAATGAGGGACAAATTATTGCATTTCCTAGTTCAAAAGCAAGAACTCCATTTCACTTGAGGCCCACAATTTTTTCACCAAATAAATCACAGTTGAAAACATAGTTGCAACAGAAAATATCACAGTCGGGCAAAATACCAAGCCCGCAATTATCAAGAGAAGGAATTCAGTAGTTGGTAATAATCCTAATAATAAGATATTGTCTGCGCAGCCAATGTTCCATAAGAAACCCTAGGCTATAACACCAGCCATTGCAAAGCGTTATACAGCTTTATTAGTTCCATTAGGTGTGCGGATTTCCAAAATATTACATTAATTACCAAAAAACGTAATAATAGCAACCATTACCACAATAATACAAGTCCTTGGTGAGTTCCTAATTGAAATAATCACATCAAAGACAATTTCTCACAGCAAGCAAAAACAATACTTAAATTGCAGAAGCACAAACAGAATATGCTGCAACAATCAAGAACAACACTAATACGGTATCACAACAAGTACAAGAGCTTCATCCCACAAATAGATGATGGTTCACCCTTATAATACCATGCACATACATGCAAAAGAATTCAATGAGTATATGATAGATAGTGCACAAGCATGAGACCAATCAAAACATAATTGATCATAAACAATTGAGAAATTTGGGTTTCATCAAAAAAGAACCATCAAGTTACAAAACAAAGTTGAGTTGCATGAACATCTCTAAGAAATACAGGTGTTTATTTTAAAAATATATATATTCAGATGCCCCAGACAAACTTGGATAGAATTCAACACTAAAACAGCACACACAAACCTATCAACGTATATAACTATTAAGCGACAAAATTTGTGTCTTCAGTAAATTTCAGACATAATAATGACACTCAACATAGTCAGTTACGGTAATTTTCTAAAATGATTGGTTGCTACAGTGAATTTTAGAAATCATAAATTTATGAGTTAAATTAAATGGTAAAGCACAAGTAGGACCATAACATGGCCATTAAATAATTCTGTAATGAAAGGAATCGAAAGGATGGTTTCACCCATCAAAGTCAACTAAAACCAGCACGTCACAGTGAAACTTTCACAAGACACTTGAACAGCCAAAAAACATTTAAACATAAATTCAATATTTGATATGTTTAAAATTAATTATATGAATCAACATCAATATATCAAAAGAATGTTTAACCAACCGAGTGTAAGTGTCATGTGAGTTACTGGATTTAGATTATCCTCAAAACCTGATAAGAAGGCAGTTCTTATTTTCAGTTTTATTAAATCATCCACATGATGTATAACAAACATCTAGATTCTGACAGCCAAGCCTCCGAACTCAAACAACTTAAACATTAGAAACTAGAAAATAACAAATGTCTAGAGGCTAGATTCAGACCTTAAATTTGGATATGAAATACCAGGACAGAACGAAAATCTGATGAAATCCCACATGCAACGCCACAAATTAAATGCCTTTAGAGTTCAAAGAGCATTGGACGTGTTCAAGATATCAACTAGATAATACCATTGTTGAATCAGAGTTAACCAAGGAAAATTAGATTGAAGAAAGAAGGGTAAAAAGGCTCATAAACAAGATAATGAAGAAGCAAATTGTGAAATTTAAAAAAAAAAGTGTCATGCTTCATTTAAATATAGATTAGTTCATAAAGTTTTGAATGCAAATTATCATTTGGCAAAGATACAACATTATCGCCATATTGGAAAATTAAGCAACTAACTAGTATTCCACTATACATGACTTTCACATATCAAATTTTAAAATATTGATATAGAGAAGAGATTGTATCCATGGAAATGTAAGCTTAATACAGCTGCTAAACCACCACGACACATTCCGACATGTGTACATATGCCTGTAAAATTTTGATCACGCATGCAACTATGTACATACATATTGTTCCGACATAACTCCCTCCATGATGACAGATGTAATATCATAGAACAAAAATGTGCATCATACACTTAAATTACCAATCCTTGATTTGAATAAAAACACCGTAGCAAATACCCCAGCATAACTCCTTAAAGACATTAGAGCTCAGCAATCCGGACTCATAAACCAACGTTTTTCGAAGCATATAAAAATAAAGCAAACTCCATAAACCTTAAACAGGTAGTTCGAATAGCATGTGATGCCATTTCCCGATGCTTTCAACAGGCACTATAACCAATGGAAACGTATCATTCCACTGCTTGCACACCAGGAAAACGTATTAAAACCCCAGAGCTAGAACTAGTGCGATCGACAACCAAGACACCGAGTGAATCGTCGTTTGCAGGAAAATCAACGGAAAAAGCTAAAGGACAGCAGCGTAAACCCTAGAGTACAGATTGCCGCTCAGAGAGTACCGACATTATACCTAGATCGGTAATTTTTTCATCCACCTCGCTTTCCTCCTTGTTATCGCAGTCAGAATCGGCATCGACGGCCGCATCGTCGAAGAACTGGAGAACCCCAGGTCGCCGACGCCTCTTACGGCAGCCGCCGGGGTTCTCTGACGCCGCTGTCTTCCTCTTCACGGAAGAGGAAGAAGCGGCCGAGGCCGCAACTTTTCCGACGACCTGCTTCCCTTTCCCTTTCATCGTCGTCGGAAAAGGGAAGACGACCACAACAAGAGCATAGTGTGGGTTTGTTTCGCCTTTTGGGCTTCCACTCCACCGTCGTTTTTACCGAGGGCAACGCATCGTCTTAGCTGCCGCGGAGAACGTTAATCAGATTAGTTCTTCCACGTGGCTCTTGTCAGCTTGTTACTCGAATCAGTAACTGGACGCAACGTAGTTCGTATAGGATATATTATATCGTTCTCCAAGTTGAGTTTATCGGCGGTGGTTTGATCACTCTTCGGGCTCCCTTAAGCTGCTGCAGTTCTGGCGGAAATATGTAAACAAAGTAATTCTTCCTTTTATTCCTTGCCAAGTGGTGCACAACTCGCTTACTAGGCAATAACAATGCGCCACGCAGTAGATGCACGATATATTATACTGCTCTATGAATTGAGTTTATTGGCGATGAGACCTCTTGATGCCTGCCAGAGAAACGCCCTCTTTGGTTGCTTTACTCAGCCAAGCACACAGTGACCAAGTTAAAGTTCGTCGTACCAACTTCTCATCTAAGCCCAGTTATAGCTTCAAAATAAATGTTGTATTATATTTGTTTCTCCAATTTAAATTTAGTAGATATATCTTTCTTAAAAAGTAAGCATCTACATATATATTACATTTGGTTAATTTTCCTATCATTTGACTGTTAATTGAAGCTACAAATTATATTAATATCTTTTAAATACTCAGCATGATTTAAGAATATTATGTGTATTCTAGATATTTAGACTTTTTAAACTTAAACTGACCAAGAGTTTCTATATGAATGTTAAATATATATGTTATATCAAAATTTATAAGAAAAAATATGCTACATTTTAAGTTTTGAAAGGGTAACATCTTGGAAATAATATAGTATGCATACTGACTAACCTAATGGGTCCTTTCTAGAACTAGACGTTTACTATATTTATCTAAATTTTTATTGTTTGACTTATTAATTTAGTTATAATTATTTATAATTTTGTAATAAACTGTCAAGATTTTTATCATATAGATTATATGACACATTTTAGTATTCTATTTCCTCTACTTAATCAGAAAAATATTAATTAATTCGATAATATAAAATCATCCTTCCTTTTATATTGGCCACCTTATTTGACTTATTATCCTTGTTACTTTTTCTTTCCATCTTTATTCTTTGGGTACTTAAACATATATCTCCATATTTATTTTCTGTTTCTACCGAATACGGATTGCTATTTTTGTTGTCATAATCTTACTTAAAAAAAAAAACTGCCTTTTAAATAAGTTGCTTCAAGTGAACATTGTTTAATCATACCGTAAATTCCATTAATTCAACTTAAGAACTTAGATGGTATGAAGCATGAAAAAGATCTTAGGATGAATGTTGATTCATCTATGTTATTTTAAATGATTGCTCATGAAAGTTGACAGGGACGATATGGATTGGTGTCACACCATAAAGAGCTTGGACAGGTCAATCCATGCTAGGGGGCTGTACAGGTCGATCGCCTGCATGAATGCACTGTAGGAGGTATGGGTAGCCCTTGTAGTTGCAGTTCCCTCATGCTGACTCTACAGGTATAAAAAATGATCCCAACACCTAAACGGAGGACCGATCCCAAAAAAAATTCACACTAGATACAAAACTAATTTTTCATCATCTAACTTAAGAATCAGATGGGTCATATCGAAAATCTCACGCGATATCGATCTAATGTGCAAGATCCCAATGGAGATTAGATCTACTCTAGTTCCACCTTAGAATTGCCCTCGCTAACCCTTACTCAGCTTTAGCTACTCCGCTTCTCCCTTGAGAAGACTCACCTAGAAGATTTTGCACTTTCGAGACAAGATCATGTCGTACCGACTCCTAGTCCATTGTATAAGTTGTTAATAGAAGTATTTCAAATTCTTATTTTCGGTTTAGCTTGGGCACAAATATGCTTCATTTTTTTCATATTTCACGAGTTAATAGAGATCTTTTTTAATCAAATCATCTTATTTTAGAAATTAAAGAATAATGGAAAATATATATTGTTATGCAATATAAAATATTTTACAAATATATTTCTGTTTTATGAGGAAATTTATATTCTATTTTTTAAGGTTGGTTTTTGAACTAATTCTTAATTTATTTAAATCGATTAAATATATTAACCAAATCAATATCCCATCACTTTTGAGGGGCTTTTCAGTTAAAAAGCAAAACAAGGACTTCATGCAGTAAAAGAAACTGAGGAATTATTCTCGTAATAAAACCTATTTTAACTTTACATTAGCAAAAACATAATATTTTATATTGAAAAGAATGTAAAAGATAAGAAAACATGATATTTGATTGATTTTTGAATGAAATCATATCTATATTTATTACTTCTGTTAGTGAACCTTTACCTGTGGTTAAGTTGTCGGCTCGGTCCAATCTCGGTCGAAGAATCGGACGAAGCATCAATGAACCAATGACATGTCGGATAACATGATTCAAGCTTTTTAATAATTATCTATGATCGAAAGGTTTTAATTGTGCAGGATTAACTACGATAGCGATCAAGACATCATTTTAATAAAATCATAAGTATTGCACGTATCATTTCAAATCATAAATATTTCATATCATGATGGTACCAATTTTGTCAAATTACATCTTACCATGAATGATCAAAACTTCTTCCCATTTTAACATTGTAAACAAGAAAGAAGAAGGGAAGAATATAATGGTATAAAATATTTCAATTATTTCAAGATATACAAACCATAAATACAAAGAAATCATGTCATGAAAGATAATACCATATATCATTTTTGATAAATTTCTTCTTGTAAATAGAAAGCACGATAGGAAAAGAAGACAAGTTATAATTATAAGAATTCACAAGAAATTTTATGTTTCATTTGACAAAAGGATTGTCGATTGATCCATTTGAATAAATATTTTTAAATCATCACTTTAACTCATTCAATTTGTCAAATCAATAAAGTCCTTTTCAAGAGATTCAAAATGAAATAAAGAGATTTATTGATCTCTTGAAATGCTAGTGATTTCCTTTCTCCCTTTTATCATTGTAAATAAGAAAGAAGAAGAGGGGAATAACATAAAGGTGTAAATATTCAAGTTATCACATGGAAGATATCAAGAAAATTTTGATGATAAGATATACTTCATGAATACAAGAAATTTTACATAATAAAACTTAAGTCATAAACATCGATAAATGATTCGATTGGATATATCATCTTATTATTAAAACGAATCATACGAAAAGAAATCCAAAATCATCATATAAAATCATAAAAATCTTTTTCATAGTCCAAGAGATTCATAGGTTCATTATAATAATTTTCTTCTTTAGACGATAAAATCATATGAAAAAAAAAATGATTCATACAAAATACATCTCATGTCATAAACATGAATAAATTAAGTGTTTGGTTAAATATGAAAATAAATTATCAAATCCAAAATGATCATCAAAATCACTTTTCAAATAATTTAATGAAAGCAACATAGATAGATTAAAAATAGCTCAAGTTCTTATAGTTCCAAATTTTATGATTGATTTCATGTTCAAGTTTTTCATACAAAGGCCATGCTTCATTATTTATAATAAAAAAATAATATGAAAATCATATAAATCATCAAACTCAATAAACCCAAAAATCATCATTACTTCAAATCACTATGCATAATTATAAAATCATTAAATCAAAGTCATTCTCAAGAGACTCACAAAAGTGATACAAATATATTCATTAATCTCCTTTTTGGAAAACTCGATAAAGTAGAGAAAAAGAAATCTTTCAAGGAGAAACCTATCCTCTTTTTAGTTATTTCAATTCATGTGATTTATTTCATTTATGCCAAGTAAATACATGCATCAACGTTTAAAACCAAAAGTACAAGATTTATTACGTTAAAGATCAATAAGGCATAAATCACAAAAATCATCATGCATCATTTCTAAATCTCATGTATAGTATAAAATCACCCAGCATGGTACCAAAACTTTTAATATTTTCATTACATAATTTGCATCATCGAAATTGATTTCATCAAACAAAAAACATTTTCCATCAAGATCATTTTGTTTGTTGTAGCCATGCATTTTTCTTTTTAGATGAATCTAACTTTTCATACTTAGTTTTCATACAAAAGCCATGCATCATCATTTATAATCGAAAGGCAATATGAAAATCATTAAGATATACATTATTACTTCTTAAACACATACATAAGATTAATTATATTTGGTGTGCAAGCATTATATTAATATTTTATTATATTTTCATAAAACATACAATTTTTATGATCATTTTCAAAAAATTACTAGAAGGATAAGCATGATTCCTAATTTCTTATATTTTCATTATATTATTAAATATATAATTTTTAAGAAAAATATTTTTTCTAAACTAAATTAAAAATAACTTATGAAAAGCATTATGTAATTTCAAAGTAAACTAAGGATATTTTGATTACCTTATCGTTGAAAGTCGTTACGGAGTAGTTTGCCACCTCGCCTTTGTTGATTTTCTCCTCGTCTTTGGATGAGCTTGATTTATCCCAATGTGCTTCCCTCTTTTTGCGTTCATAGTAAGTAGTTTTTTATTTTTTTATTTTTGTTTCATGAACTTTTTAAATTTCTTAGTGAGGAGTTCAAATTCACCATCACTTAGCTTATGCTCGAGTGGTTTTCTTTTGTTCGAAGTGCTAAATCCTTTCTGTTCTTTAGAAGGTGGTTCTCATGTTCGTCAAGTGCCACAGTAGTCATTTCATAGATCATCAAAGACCCGATAAGTTCTTCGAGAGGGAAATAGTTCAAGTTTTTTTTATTTTTGAATAGTCATTACTTTTGAATCCAAAGTTTTAGAAAGTAATCTTAAGATATTATTAATGAGTTCAAAATCCGAAAAACTTTTACCAAGTGCTTTTAAACCATTGACGATATTCGTAAAACGGGTGTACATGTCTCCAATGGTTTTGCTTGGTTTCATATGAAACAATTCAAAATCATACATTAAAATATTAATCTTAGAGTCTTTTACTCTACTAGTGCCTTCGTGTGTAGTTTCAAGAATGT